ATATCAGTTTGAAAAAACTGTAATAAGGAAGAATTTGCTACTACACCGAATGGGTTGTGCTATAAGCATAAAAGTTTCATGCAGGAGAAAGTAGTTTAATATTCTGTGAGATTCTGTCCATCTTCTATTAGAGCCAGACATAATTAAAAGTATCTGCTTAAATCTTTAGCCTCGTTTTCCTCTAATGTGCCACCTAAGCCTGAACAAGAATTAATATCAAGGAGCTGAATGAGCTGGTAAATGCTAATAGAAGATTTATCTAGGAATTGAATCACCAAGGAAGTCTTTTCCAGTGAGGAAAATACAAAATAAGGGAAAAAGGAAAGGGATTTTTGTAAAGAGGTGGTGGGGAAACAACTCTGGCTGACATTTACCTTTTGTTTTTCAAACTAAAAGAGAAATTAGGGTTTTTTTGCTCTTTTTCATGATACCAACATAAATGAGGGGGAAAGAGTAGCTGGAAGCCTCTGTGGGAGCAATCTCTGTGATATCTGCAAGGATTCTGTGGTACCAAGGGTGAAGTACACTGACCTGTAAATTCATGTACTATATTCCACTTTTATCTACTATCAACCCTGTAACAGCAAAATTGAGTATCAGATAATAAAGCAAAAAAATTCAATGCTCATATGATTATTGGCATCTTTCAACATTGTATTTAGGAACCATGGCTGAAAATAAAAATATTATAATCAGATTAACTATGCCTTGAGATATTAGGACATTTCTTAAAATCTCCAAGAGCTTTGGTTTTCCTTAAAAAAAATATTTGATAAACCATTATAAATGGTCCACTGTCAGTTATAAATATTCCTAAATTTGTGGACAAAAAGACATAGAAACCAGAGTTTTATCATAAAAGTTCCGATTTGACAGCATCCTAAATAAAAATCCTCAGAGTCATAATATTTTCAGAGAACTGCTGGATAGAAAGAGATTAATCACTTGAAACAAATATTGCCATGACCTGATTTCAGGGTCTGACACCTCTGCTGTTCAGTACTTGGTGTCATTACCTGGAGAACAACTCAGTGCAGGCAAATTCAACAAGAAAAACTCAGGAAGGAAATCCTGAACCCAGGCAGAACTGAAGAAAACTGCAGTTGTGAGCAGAGAGCTGATCCTGCAGGCTCTCAGTACAAGCCTCCTGTGCCTAAAGCCAGGTAATTCTATAAAACAATGTATTTATCTAAAATTAGGATTAATTTTAGCTGAACACTGCCTATAGCTCTGGAATGTTGCTATCTCATTTTAAACACCCAGCTTGGGGAGCTGGAACAAAACCACCCTCAGAACTGCCTGTTTGGAGGGGCTGAATAATTGAAGAGCAGAGCAAAAAGCTGAAAAGATCCTGCTTTTTACTCAGTAACTACAGCAAGTTTGCTTTTTCCAGTATTTTATGAGATTTATGAACTCTTCAAAATGGGATACTTGCTCATTTAAAGTAATTTTCCAAACTCTGTTCTGAGCTATTACAAAATGTGCTCAGAGCTTCCCACTCTGCTCTCCCACTGCAAGCACTGTGCTGAGAGGAAAACAGAGGAGGAGACCTTTTATTTCCTCTTATCAGCCTGAAAAGTGCTGGTTTTCAGCTGGTCACATAGACATCTTGAATATTTTCTAAAGGATATTTTAAAAGAATCTTTAGTTTGAGAGCTCAAAAAGAGAAATTGGTGTATAAACTCTGTCATTACAAGAATAAGACATCTTTAGGACAGAGAGGGTTTTGTCAGATGTTTCCTGGCAAATCTCCCTTGGAGGAACACTGTGCAGGCACAAACACAGATTTATTGGAAATCATTGGCTCCATCTTGTTTCTTTTGAGGTGAACTGAAGCTCTCCTATTCTCTTGAATAATAGCACAGTCAGTTTCCCAGCTCAGACTCTTGTCCTAAATACATTTATGTGGCACTCTGCATGTAAGAACAAACACAGAAAAGAAACAAAACAAACCCCAAGCCACAGGCCTACCTTCATTTCCATCATAAATCAGTTTGTCTTTGCTAAAGTGGAGTTATTGAGCAGAGGCAAATAAAATACAGAGCATGTGTTTTATTTTTACCTAACATTTGAACAGATTAAAGAGAAAAAAAAAACCAAAGAGGATCAGATTGACTTGCTCAAATTGACTTCCCATCTTTTTATTAGCTTCTCTTTTTGCTCAGAGACAAAATTTACAATTACTGAAGTGCAATTAGGCTCCTTCAACCTCCAGTTTTCTAATAATAACATCCAGTTTTCTGTAATAAATGTTTTCAAGAGTGAAGGTCCGTGGTGGCAAGGCAGATCTGGGGAAGAGGGGCTGGAATTTGGGATGAGGGTGACATGACACATCCAGCCCTGTGCAGAAGGCTCTCAAAGCCTCAGGTCCTCACAGCCAGAGCTGTATTTTCATTTTCCAGGCAGCAGCTGAGGCAGATAGTAAGTTTTCCCTGGGGGAAAAAAAAAAGAAAAAAAAAAAAAAAAAAGGAGTAGAATGTTTCAAAAGAAATGTCATACTTGAGAAAGCCTTACAAGCTGCACCTCAGAGGGTTCTGGTAGCTGGTTTTCATTTTTCATGGCCCTGGGTCATGCAGGAGAGCTCTGTTCTTGCAGGAATCCCACCCAAGGCCAATGAGAGTGCTGTCAAAATGGAAAGGACAGAAGTATTTCTAGACAGGATTTTTAAAAGGAATTGATCCTGAGAAATGCTGACCATTTTCTGGCACCTTGGAGCCTTCATCTTTCATCAGCACTCACCCTCTGTGCTAACATCTCTATCTCAGGCTTCTTGAAATTTCTGAATCAGGAACTGAGCTGGAACAAGGCTTTCATTGAATAGAAAAGAATAACTAGAATAATTTTAGCACAATTTTAGGGCTTATATCAAATAAATCTGCATCAGATTGTGAAGAAGTTTATTATAGAATCATACATTGAACAAGCACAGCAGGTTCAAGATCATTATTAAACATATAGAATGAAGAATTCATTTTCTTGCTCTCTTTTGTTAAAAAGACATAAAATAAAAGTCTGTCCACCTCTTTGATGAAATAAAAAATAAAAGTCTGTCCACCTTTTTTATAAAGCATGGCTAAAAATGCTTTATTTTACTTTTCAAATGGAAAAAGTTGTACTTATCGAATTGATCCCTATTTAAAATTGGAGAATTGATATTAAAATATTTCTATATTTGCATATAGAAATATCACCATGAATTTTGGTGGAAGCTCTTACCTACCCCTCTGTCTCCAAAGACTTTATCCTGGGAATCTGGCACAGACAGAGCCTCTCTGGCAGCCCCTTCCTTTCCTGGGAGCTGAAGGAGAAGGACTGACCAGCCAACTCTGAAGGCTTTTTATTTAGCTGAAAATTAAGTTCTGAAGGTGAAAAGGGATTTTCTGAAGCTTAATTCATTGCTAATGAGATTAAAACATTTTTTAAAGTCTTTTAAATATATTTTAGTGCTTCTGAGTCATGTTTTCCCTCCCTTAAGGGTATAATAGTTTATCTTATGCCCCTCAGTTCCCTGGCACTATACTGCTCATGGTGGTTTTTATATTTTGTCCCCTTCCTTGAGAATCTCTAACACATTGTTCTAAAATGTGTAATTAGGCAGAGCTCTCTTTTGTCTCATCACTGCCAAAGAGGGCTTGATCCTCTCCTCAATTCTTATTTCTAACACTGAGAATCACAATTCCTTGCGCTTTTAAGGACAATTGCTGCTCAATTCTAACCTCACTGACATCATCACCTGTGTGTTTTGCTGCTTTATTGTCTAAAGGAGGCAAACCCTTAATGTCCAGAGGAATTTTGCCTTTGTAAGCCTGAGCTGCAGCAGGATGGAGATGTTTAACTTCATTCACAAAAGGTCCTGACACACTTGAGAGTGCGCTCTTTGGGCTCATGATGAATTTTTTTGCCACAGGACTTTAAGAACAGGCCATGCTCAGGTCTGTAATCTCAAAATTGCACAACCAAATTTGTATTGTTTCCTGCAGAGGTTTCAGAGCAAAAGCTGCAGCAGGGCTGGCCTGGGGCTGTGGTCCCTGAAAATATCAGCAGCTTTCCAGGAGCCACAGCCTCCTCAGGACATGGGGCAGCTGCCCAGGAAATCAGATTTGTTCTCCGATGTGCACCAAGCCACACTTGTGTCACTTGTAGTCACACATGAATGATTTATTTCAGGGTTGTGCAAGCCTGGTGTTCCACAAAGCCAGCACAGCCCAGCAGGAATATGAGAGCCACAGGGGACAGGGACACAGTGGACAGTGTAAAGTCATAAACTGAGACAGGGGAGATTCAAATTAGGTATTTGAAAAGAATTTATTCACTGGTTGGGAGGTCAGGCAGCCCAGGGAGGTGTGGAGTCACCATCCCTGGAGATGTTTAGGTGCCTAAATCTGGCATTTGTTGCTGTGGTTTAGGGGTTACAATGGCAGCGCTGGGTGAACATTTGCATTGGATGATCCTGAAGGTCTCTTTCAGTCTTGGCGATTCACGGAACCACAGAATCAATTCGGTTGGAAAGGACCTCTGAGATCATCAAGTTCAACTTTTGACTGAACACCAACTTCTCAACCAGGGAGGCGACTCCACTGCCTTCCTGAGCAGCCCAAAGTCTGATCACCCTTTCTGTGAGGAAACTCCTGGTAATGTGTAACCTGACCCTCCCCTGGCGCAGCCTGCCACCGTGTCCGATATGACTGTACGGTTCCAAGGTGCAGCGCGGTGCATTCCGAGGGCAGGGCGGTGCCGGGAGATCCCCGGGCCGTGAGGGGCCAGCCCGTGACCTCAGATCGCCACACTCAACATGGCGGCCGACACACCCCTCACACACCCCCAGCCCCGCCACTCTTTTCTCACTTCCCATTGGCTGTGCGCGCTGTCACTCTGCGGGCTCAGCCAATCAGCGCGCGCGGAGCGGCGGGCGGGCGGTGCCGCGGCCTGCGGCGGTGTGCGGGATGAGGCGGCTGTGGCCGCTGCTCTGGGCCGCGCGGGGCCCGCGGCGTCTCTCGTCGGGCGCTCCCCCGGCCATGGAGGAGCTGCTGCGCCGCTCGGTGCCGCCGCTGCCGCCCTACGAGACCAAGGAGAAGGCGCCGCCGCCCGCCGAGCTGCGCGGCGCGGAGTTTGTGCGCTTCTACCGCGCACTGCAGCCCGGGCCACCCCGCGCCGAGCTCCTGACCCGCCTGGCCCGCGACTTCGGCGTGGAGCACGGGCGGGTGGCCGAGGCCGCCGCCAAGGTGCTGCAGGCCCGCGAGCAGCGCAGGGAGCCCGGGGCGCTGCTGCAGGCCGAGGACCGGCTCCGCTACTACCTGAACCCCCAGTACCGAGGGCTCTTCCAGCAGCTGGGCCGTCTGGAGGGCGGTCTGCGCTTCCTCGTGGAGCTCAGGGCCGACCTGATGGAGGGGCTGGCGAGCAAGGCCGTGGATGGGCCCCACGTCAAGGTGAGGGATGGGCTGGGCTGGGTGGCTCCGAGGGAATTTGGGGGATGTGGTTCAGGGCTGTCTGCTCGTGCTGCTGCTTTGGGCTGGGAGGCAGTGCCGGGAAGCCAGGTCACTGTTTGGGGGTTTATGGGTCCCTCAGTTCAGGAAGGACATTGGGGTGGGTGCACAGAAGGACATTGGAGTGAGTTTAGGAAGGATATTGGGGTGGTTTCAGGGGAAGACATTAGGGTGGGTTTAGGAAGGACATTGGAGTGGGTGCAGGGAGGACATTCCTGGAGTGGGTTCAGGGAAGGACATTGCTGGAGTTGGTTTAGGAAGGACACTGGAGTGGGTTCAGTGAAGGACAATGGAGTGGATGCAGGATGGACATTGCTAGAGTGGGTTCAGGAAGGACATTGGAGTGGGTTCAGTGAAGGACATTGGAGTGGGTGCAGGATGGACATTGGAGTGGGTTCAGTGAAGGACATTGGAGTGGGTGCAGGATGGACATTGGAGTGGGTTCAGTGAAGGACATTGGAGTGGGTGCAGGATGGACATTGGAGTGGGTTCAGTGAAGGACATTGGAGTGGGTGCAGGATGGACATTAGAGTGGGTTCAGTGAAGGACATTGGAGTGGGTGCAGGAAGGACATTGGAGTGGATTCAGTGAAGGACATTGGAGTGGGTGCAGGATGGACATTGGAGTGAGTTCAGGGGAGGACACTGAGGTAGGTTTAGGAAGGACATTGGAGTGCTGGAGTGGGTTCAGGGGATGGGAAGGGTCTAGATAGAGGCCGGAGGGAGCTGGGAAGGGGCTCAGCTGGAGAAAAGGAGGCTCAGAGGGACCTTGTGGCTCTGCACAATTCCTGACAGGAGGGGACAGTGGGATCAGGCCGTGCTCCCAGGGAACAGGGACAGGAGGAGAGGGAACGGCCTCAGGCTGGGCCAGGCAGGCTCAGCTTAGACATAAATAAGAATTTCTTCTTTAAAGACTGATAAAACATTGGAACAGACCAGAGGGGTGGTGCAGTCCCCATCATTGGAGATGTTCAAGAAGCCGCTGCTGATGGCACTCAGTGCCATGGTGTGGTTGGCAGGGTGCTGATGGTGACAGGCTGCACTCGATGGAGTTTTCCAGCAGAAATGATTCCGTGGCTCTCTGGAGGGACAAAGTGACTGTCCCCAGGCTGTGACAGCAGTGGGAGCTGCCTGTGCTGACACTCAGGAAGGAGCTGGCCCCTGCTATGAAGCAATAGAGTGGCACTGGGAAGTGCTGGCACCCAAAGCATTGTTTTAAAAGTTAATTTACAGCAGAGCTGGGCTTGGTTATTTTTCATGTTGCTGTTTCAGTTTTTGTCCTCTCTTATGTTCTTTTCATGTGTTCTGTTCCTTCTTTTCACCACAGGACACTGATTTTCTACTGTCCTTATAAACAGTTGAATTTCTGACGAGCTTTTGCAATCCACAGAGTGAAATTTGCTGCAAATCTGTTCGTGGGTGTTCTTCCTCTTTCGCTTCAGAACCCTCTCACCTGCAACATTTTACTTTTCCTGTGCCAGCATTTTCCTCTTGAGATTTGTTACATTTTGCTTGCTTACTTCACTTTGCTTATTTCAGCCCTTGAAAATCGACTCGGGTGAAAAGTTGACAACATTATGATCTCAGGTGGCAAATCATCCAACAATTGCTTTTAAAATAGTCTTCATCTTTCCATAGGATTTAGAAAAAGTCAGTGAAAAGTTCAAGTTGCTGGCAAAAGATAATGAAAAAGAGAGCAATTTTGTCAAATTGATTTATCTATAAAGCTCCTTCCATAATTAAGCAGTGGTTGGAGTGTATTTGTAATCTTGGCCTTGTGTTGATCTACTGGGAAAATAAAGAAGCACCATCATTGTTAAAAGTTTGTCCATAAAAAAGTGTTTGGTGTTTGCCTATCAAAAGTCCTGTGCAGCCTTTTCATTAGTGCAGAGCTGATTTCAATTCCAACATAAAGACAAATGTGCAACAAGAGTTTTATAACCTCTGTATATTTGTGTCTGCACTGACAAGGAAATGTGGGAATAAAATTAAATGGATTTTCTTGATGCTGGTGGAGAATTACAGAATGCATTGTGTGGCCTCCTGGGATTTTGGTTTTGTTCAAAATGTCTAAAATATTTCTCAGTCAATCCTTAGTTTTTACTTTGTAATTTGAAAGACCTATTAAAACTGGGATTACCCATTGCTGTGTGGTAAATATGAAATATTTTTCTATTTTCTCAGCACTATCAGCATAAAAGCAGCTCAGGCTGCTCAGATATTGGGGGATGAATGATTTCTATTTTGTGTTTGTTCAACAGATTGCAGTAAAATATCATCTTTAAGTGATTAAGTCACTTGAAAGTGCTTGAGCACAATTTACTCATTGTCCAAATGAGCAGAAATGGGGGAAAAAAAAGAAATAATTATTTTAATTTTAAGATGTCCAGTAATATAAACCACAAGAGCCAGGAGAGTTTTCAGCAGTGCCATTATCACTGCAGTAATTACTATTAGCAATAAAAAAGCAGAAGTCAGTCCCCTTTAATTGGTGTCACTACTGAATCCTGTTTTGCTGGGGGGGATTTTCTTCCAGTATCTCACCAGGGATATTCTCTATGAAGGTAATTTGTGGGGGAAAAAATAAAAAAAAAAAAAAAACACAACAGAAAAAAAATCCCTGAAACCCCACCCAAAACAAACCAAACAAACCCCCCAGCACAGACACCTTCAAATATTTGGCAATATCAGAGTACATCTGTAAGTCTCAAATTAAATAAAGCAAATTAAAAACTTCAAACTTTCCAAAAATATGTGAAAACTCAACTCTTGTGATGGGTATTTTATTTAGTTGCTTGAGAGGGAAAGTGAAATAGTTCCTTCATCAGAGAAGTATTTCTTCTCAATAAAATATAATTAATTGGACGTTTTCATAAGAGTTTTGTCATTTGCTGCCCAAGAAATAGGTACTTGATGTGAAGATTTAAAAGGTTGTAATTTGCTGTCTCAAAGCAAGAACATGGAACAAGGAAAAAAAATAACCACAATTTATTAGACTTGGCTAGCAGGAATTGAAGTGTAGCTGGTAATTTGAAATACTAATCTGAGTGTGTCTTATTGCTCAAATTTAAGACTGGGCTGCTGAATAATGAATGTGTTTGCTTTTCTTTTTAATGAAGTGTTGCAGATGTAATTTTTATGGCTAAAAAGGCATCTGAAATAAAAATAAGAATTTACATACCACTAAATTTCCAAAATAAGAGAAGCTGCCACTAAATCTGCAAATTAAGAGACCCAAACTTGAGCCTGGCTTTGTTGGAGTGAAGCTTTTTGGAGATGCCCTGTGCACTGAGATATTAAACACAAATCAGAATTTTGTTTAGATGACCTGAGTTAAGCACAGTTTTGGGTGGTGGAAACTTTGATGTGAAAGTTTTGTCAGCACAGAATCCTGGAAGGGTTTGGGTTGGAAGGGACCTCAAAGCCCATCCAGTGCCACCCTGTCCTGGGCAGGGCCACCTCCCACTGTGCCAGGGTGCTCCAAGCCCTGTCCAGCCTGGCCTGGGGCACCCCAGGGCTGGGAGCCCACAGCCTCTCTGGGGAACCCCTGCCAGGGCCTCCCTGTCACTGATTTTATGGAAAATCCTTTCATTAGGTTTTTTCCTCCTGAGAAGCTGAGAGGCCTCAGAAATGAAATATAAACATTGATTATCTGCTGCTGTGGGATGCAACAGGTGCATCTGGGATTGGTCTCATGGAGTTGTTTCTAATTAATGGCCAATCACAGTGAGCTGTGTCAGACTCTCTGGTCAGTCACAAGATTTTATTATTTTATTATTTTCCTTTCAAGCCTTCTGATGAAATCCTTTCTTCTATTCTTTTAGTATAGCTTTAATATAATATATATCATAAAATAATAAATCAGCCTTCTAAACATGGAGTCAGATCTTCATCTCTTCCCTCATCCTGGGACCCCTGTGAGCACCACCACACCCACCCTCTGAGGGAGCAATTTATCCCTAACATCCCATCCAAACCTGCTCCCTTTCAGTCTGAATCCACCCCTGCGTCCTGTGCTCCAGGCCCAGCTGGGGTTGGACTCTGCTGGTGTCAGATCCCACCCACTGGAGCCATTCAAGTTCCTGCTCAGTGCCCTGTTGTTGTATCAAACTTCATTATTCACAACTGACATGTTGTTAGACTTAGAATTCCCCAACAATATCAACAATATTTCTTTTCTCCCAAATCATTGCTGAGAGCACTTGTGCTTCTCCTTTGCTTACAGCTGCCTTGCTTTGTCCAGCTGCCCCTGCAGCAGCTCTGGAATGGAAACAGCCATTGGCATCCCTTGCTGAGCCCTCAGAGGAGCAGAGCTCCTGGCTCCAGTGCTTCCCACTGTTCATTTCCCTCAGGATGAGTGTCCTGAGCTCCTCCTGGGCCTGGTGACTGCAGGAGCTGCAGAGCAGAGTGGGAATGCTGCCAGCAGGAGTGCTGCCATCCTGCTCTGCTGCTGCACTGCAGCTGAACTGCTGCTCAAAATGCACATGGGTGGCACGAGAGCCTGAGGAATCTGCTCCTTTGCCCCCAGATCTCACAATTCCAGCTCATTTTTCTGGTTTACAGTGTGTCCCTACAAAAGAAAACAAACCAAACAGTCCTGGAGTGCCTGGAGACTTCCACTACACCGTGGGATATCTGACCAAAGTGATTTATGGTTATTATCTAAAAACTTCAGAGCTGTGCAGAGAGAAGGATTCACAAGGGAGGTACCTTAGAGTCAGAATAAACAAACCAATCAGAATACATTTGTTTAGAAAAAAGGCATTGAAAAAAAATTTCACGGAGGAGAGAATTGAATGGCTGTTTCTTCTGGGTTTGAATTTTTTTTTCTAATGTGTTAATGAATAAACCTATCCTTTTATTCAGTCTTGGAATACTTGTAGCAGTTACTTTGGCCAGCAGAAACCTGCTTTGATGTTTGTCTTTAGACAAGTGCCTCTGCAACTTACATTTTAACAGGAAATTTCTGCTTTTTATGACAGTCCTGAGACTACATCACAATTTAGGAAAACTTTTTTAGTTTTTCTGATTAGATTTATATATTTTTCCAGTTGTTTTTCTTTAATGTAGCAAGCTAAATACATTGGAGCTTAATTTTTATCTCTTCTATGTGCAGCAGTAGCTATTTAATAAAAGTTTGAATGGAAGATGAGGAGTTTTTGTTTTGAAGGAAATGGTTATTAAGTTAGCTCCAGGTAAGCCCAGGTTTCTGATCAGGTTGCTGGTAAGTTGGTGTCACACTGTGTCTTGTGTACAAGGCAAATGGAAGAAAGCAGAACAAGCTCTGGAATCTCTTTTAGGGGATATTCATACTCTGCTGAGTTCAAGAATACTTGTTAAATTCAAATAAATTTAGACAGGAAATCTTTAATGACACAGGCAGCAGGAAACTGGTAGGGAATATAAAAATCACTATTACAGTGAATCACTGTTACAGTGAAAGGCTTTGACATTGCACTTGGGTTTCATCCCATACTGCTCCAAAGCTGGTTTGATCCTCCAGTTCTATTGTCTTATGCTCCTGGGTTTTATTTGTCTGGCTCAAATATTTTCATGTTTGTAGAGAAGAAAAATTCTGTCTGCATCCTGTTGAAAGATATTTCCATGGTATTGAAATCTGAGCTACTGTGAGACTGCAAATCTGCTCAAAACCTTCTACCCATTGTCTGCTTTTTGTCCACAATATTTTTCCTGATCTTCCCCGTCCCTGCTTCCCCTAGAGACAATCCCTAGAAGGATTTTCCTGGTTCAGTCCTGGACTATTTTGTGGTTAATCTTCTAAAGCAGATCCATAAGTTTCCTTTAAGCTCCCTGGGTTCTAGTTGGATCCAATCAGGGTTATCTTCACTCACATGTCCATGTTCCACCTTTCTCATTCAGCAGCTCATTCCTTCTTTGTTCTGGTGCAGGAAATGAATGGAGTTCTCAAGAACATGCTCTGAGCTCACCCCCTCTCTGTTCTGGTGCAGGAAATGAATGGAGTTCTCAAGAACATGCTCTCAGCTCATCCCATTTTTGTTCTGGTGCAGGAAATGAATGGAGTTCTCAAGAACATGCTCTCAGAGTGGTTCTGCACAGGATTCCTCAACCTGGAGCGGGTCACATGGCAGTCACCCTGTGAAGTGCTCCAGAAAATTAGTGAGTAAGTGCTAAAGGCTCCTTGATGAGGAGGTGATGGAATGTTTGGGACTGCAGAGATCCCCTGTTTTCAAGACTCTGCTTTTCTGAGTGAAGGCAAAGTATAATTATGAAATATTTTCACTAATGTGCTGAGACCCCAATTTAAAAACAGATTGAAGTAAAGAGTAAAGGGATCATTTGTGCCATGATTTGATCCTGTAGCTCTCACCCTGCACTGGTAGAATGCTGTCTTTCCTTCCAACTTCCTCAGTTTCTCTTCCCACATTCCCAGAGTGGTTTTTGGGTGGTGGTTTTGGGCAGTGGTTTTGGCTGGTGAGGTCCACAGGATCACCTGTAAACTACATGTGAAGAGAGCACCTTGGTTTTTATACAGGGTGCTCTACAACATTGATTTTTGAATGTGTAACATTGATTTCTGAACTTACAACATTGATTTGTGAATCTGTAACATTGATTTCTGAACAAACAACATTGATTTCTGAATCTGTAACATTGATTTCTGAATCTATAACACTGATTTCTGAACCTACAGCATTGATTTCTGAATGTGTAACATTGATTTGTGAACCTTCAACATTGATTTCTGAACCTACAACATTGATTTCTGAATCTTTAACATTGATTTCTGAATCTGTAACACTGATTTCTGAACCTACAACATTGATTTCTGAATGTGTAACATTGATTTCTGAACCTACAACATTGATTTCTGAATTTTTGTCAAATAGTCAAAGTTGTGAAGAAGTTGAAAATTACTACATTATATGGTGGGCCACCTTATTATATAAAATCTTAAAAAAAACCTAATCTCTAGGATGTTCTGAAAGTATGTTGAGTGTTGATGAGACAAAGAGAACTCATACAAGGTGAATATTCCAAATAAAAATAATTAGTAATATTCAATTACTCTTTGAGGTAATTTGGCAAACACACCAGTGAGTGGGTGTGCAATATTCCTTTCCAATCCATTCTGGCAGAACTTGCTGACAATTTTGCATTATTCACAGCCTGATTCTTGTTTTTTGATTGGAAAATTTTGTTACTGACATCAGAGGGAAAAGCACTGAGCTTGTGGGGCAGCTGACCTCTATTTAAAATGAAATAATAATAACAATAACAATTATAATAACTATAATGATGATAATAATGATGATGATAATAACAATCGTAATGAATTAATGATAATAGTAATTTTATTTTTAAATTCCCTCCCTGAGTTCTGAAGCTGTGCACCCTGTGAGGAACTGGGTTGATATGAAGAGGCGAGTTGGGGCCTACAGGAGGTGCTACTTCTTCTCTCACTGTGCCATCCCAGGAGAGCCCCTGATTGTCCTGCACGTGGCACTCACCAGTGACATCTCCAGCAGCATCCAGGTACAGCCCCTGAGGCATTTAGTGCACAGCAAAGTGCTCAAATTGCAGTGTGCTTGTTTAAAAATCCACAATTCCCTATAATTTGGAAATATTTGCTTTTATTTCATCTTTTAAGAGATGAGAAAATTAGCTCATAAAATGTACAGAGATATTTTGTCTGTCTTGTGTATTATTTAAATTGAAATTTTGAGGGTTTGCTCAAGAGCAAGAAGAATAAGAAAAGATAAGAAATATATAGAGAGAATGAGACTAAAATTTCAAAGTGGTTGCAATTACTTCTGAAAACTTTAAACCATATTACAGTTTTTCTCTGCACTTACTAATGAATAAGCAGCTCTCCTAGTTTTTTATCAGATTTTCATTGTTAATGAATAAAACAGTGGGGAAAAGTGTTAATGCCTTTAAAAGTTAAAAAGAAAACCTCCCCATAATGCTGATAATAACCATTATTAACATTTTTTATTTTTAATCCTGATTTTCCCAGGCCATAGTGAAAGAAGTGCCACCTCCAGAGACAGAAGATCCAGACAAAATCACAACAGCAATTTTCTACTCCATCAGTTTGACTCAGCAGGGCCTGCAGGGGGTGGAACTTGGCACTCACCTCATCAAAAGAGTTGTCAAGGAGCTGCAGGTGGGTGTGCCAGGGGGGCTCAGGGTCTGCTTGCCCAGCATGGTTTAGTTCCCAATTCATGTCACTGCTCAGCCCAGGAGCTGCTGGGGCTTCCCTTGCACTTGGAACTTCCTCCCTGAGCAGCCTTTGGAGGTGTGGAGAGCTGGAACAGCATTTCTGGAACAGCATTTCCTGAAGGGCATTTTCTGGAAGGGCATTTCCTGCTCTTGCTTGATGTCTGCCAGGTGTAGATCCTGTTCCACAGCTGACATGGTCAGTGTGAATTCCTTGTGTGGTTCCTGAAGTTAAGTGAGAACATTTCTGTTGGTGACAGAGCTCTGTTCTGCTCTGATACAATCCAGTTGCCTCTCAGTTGACAGGTAAGAGCCTGATCAAGATATTCTCTCTTCAAAGTATCTGACAGTGCCTTTTCCAAAATCTTACAGCTGCTCCAGGAACAGAAACACTTCCTATTTATTAATTAATTCATTGCTTTGTTTGTTATATTGAATTGCCACTGGTTATTTATGCAGTGTGCAGCCATGCCCTGAATACATCTAGTGAGAAAAATGAAAAGGAGAGAGATTTCTTTGCCCTGGTATGTCTTGCAATATAGTAAAGAAAATGTCTTAAAGGTCTAAAGAATCTTTTACTCTCTGCCAGTCAGTTCTGTTAATTTAGATAACATCACTGCAGGCTGAGGGATTATTGTTAATAGCTTTAGTACTTGGAGAGCCTTCCAAGCAACTGGAGAAAGGAATGAAAATTCATGTACAGAGTGATGTGAGAGAGGCAGTCACATTCCTGCACTGAGCACATGATTTTATTTAATAGTCTTTGCTACTTAAATTGCTGACAAATCTACCACTTAAAAGTAATGATCACTGCTTGTGTTTATATTCATTGTTTCACATCTGGATTAGTAACCATGTCTGGAAAACTGTCTGTGATTTAGAGCTTCAGTTCTACTTACAAAAACATCTTAAAATTGGATGCTCCAAACTTCTACTGCCAGAAAGTGATAGATTATTTAATTGCTGAATCATAGCTGCCCTGAAGTTTTGGGGATTTTTTAATTTATTTTTTTAATGGCTATTTTGGTTGAATTTTGTTGCATCTTGCTTTTGGAATGTTTTTTAGATTAATTGTTGAAAATGCAGTAGTCCAGGTATAATTAGGCCATGCCATCTGTCTGATCTTGACTGAGGGGAAATTGGAATAAATTCATGCAGTTATCTGCTTTCACATCTGAAAAATAATGTCTGGATAATTGAGTTGCTCTCATAAAATAACCCTATTGACATTGTATCTGTCCATCACTAATTGCTTGCAACACCAGCAAAATTTTGAGTTCCAAAGGCAAACAAACTCATCATGCTTAGATAACCTAATGCAGGTTTTAAAATTCAGTGTGTCCAACAGAAGAGTGCGGTTTGTATTTCTACTTATGGCAAAGTTTTTACATTTCAGTGTTTGAAACCCAGCCCCTCTTCAGTGTTCATCAAGGGAAACCTTTTGCTGGGATGCCTTTAAATACATTTTAAGCATAAAATTAATCCCTCAATCTTAAATAAATTGAAAACTTGAGTGCTTTCCATGCAATGCCAAAGGTGGAGATCTTCCTCCCTACCCAAATTCCCTACAGTGCTTAAAGGTGTTGTGAAAAACGTTCTGGTAGGAAATTGTCGTGTGACAAACTGGACAGGGACTGAGGTGTTTGAGTGTGCACACATTAAAGGTGCACACTCTAAAGGAGCCACTCTAGGGCTAAAGAAGATAGAAAGGATAATCCAGCAATATTTATCCACTGGGGATGTGGCTCTCTAATAGTTTTTTCTTCATGTTTGATGTTCATATTTTTCTCTCTCCTGTTCTTCACACTCCTCCATACTTTCTCCACCTTCACTCCAGTGTTGTCCATTAGTTTGTCTCAAACGGTGTAAGAACCATTTCCCACTGCACATTTTACATCTGTGAAGTGACCCTAAATAATTTTCCTGTTGTTCCCACAATGGTTTGATGCTCTTCCACAAGGCCTCCTCATTCAGCTTCAGCTGCAAACATTGTGCCTCCCATCCCATGGGACCTCACCCCTCAGAGGAGAGAGACCCTCTGCATTTCAGCTTCAAAACACTTCCACTGTGGAATTTCTACAAAGTCAGGGCTGTCCAGGCCAAAGGCAGGGCATGCAGTGAGTAAATACTCTTGGCAGCCTGTTTTGCCTGGCTCCCAAAATTCTGGAAGTCCTTTTCAGTGGATTAATTGCACACATGTGCTCTCTTTCTCTCTGCTCAGGTGCAGCAAAGGACTTGCCAAGGTTGTCTCTGTTCAGGTTGGACATAATTCTTGGGAGCAGAATTACAGGAGGGACAAATGGTGCACAGGAGTGCTGAGTGGACTTGGTGACAGCAGCTGTGACAATCCAGCCTCAGCAAAAAAGTCCTGAGTCAAAAATTGCATCTCATTAAACCAGTGTCCAGCAGCCTGTGTAAAAATAGATGGGTGAGGTCTGTGATAGGAGGAGGATGTTTTATATCACCTTTGCATGGCTTTGCAATAAACAAATCTGTTTTTCAAGTGCTGCTAAATCACCAAGTGTTCCAGGTTACAGAAGCTGAGACTCACTCTAATTTAACTGGTAATAAAATGCATTGGGAAGAGGAGACCATTTGAAAGGGTTGAAGATTTTGTTTTTCATTTTATTTAAATTGATGATTGAGACACTTTTGTAACTTGTCATTTGAGCTAACTTTTGTGGATATCTGTTTGATCTGCACAATTCTGTTTCAGTTGTGTTGTCCCAAGGTGCTGCAAGCTCTTAAAACTTCTTTTATCCTCCAGTAAAAATCCTTTACCTGACTTCTACCTTAGTGTAACCTGCTCTGACACTTCTACTTGTAAGTGTCCCTGTAACCTCCAGACTGAAATCCCAGCTGTCATTCTTCATGAGGAAAACTCCAAATTGGGCCTGTCATGAATGTGCATCATTAGGTCAGGAAAAGATATGGACAAAATTAGGAGTGTGCTGAGAACCCCTCTGCATCAAAGCCTTCATCTGACAGGATTTCAAAAAACTCTACTGAAACCTTGATCTAAACTAGGAAATAATGGCTGTAAATCCAGTTACTACCATAGTCCTTAATATCTCATTAATACACAATTAAAATAGAATTTAATTTTTTAGAAATCTTGCTAATTTGCCTGAACTGGTCATGCCCCACTAAACATGAGCATGTGTGGGGCAGCACTTGTCACCTTCAAAGGATGCCAAGCACTGATTCCCTCCTGAAAACATTCCTTGAAAATGGGTTTTTACTGGGATTGTTGGGAAAACTGGTGAGGATTTCACACCCCCACTGTTAGTTTGAGGCACTGTGTACAAATGAGTGGCTGCTGCTTTTGGGTCTCACTAATTTAAGCAGGTGGAGGATGGATGAAGTTGAGGCACAAAATGGGGTCCTCATTTTCCCTGTGTGCACAATTTGCAGTTGGAATCCTTAACCTTCACCTGGACATTAAGATTTGGCATTTGCCCCAGGAATTGTTCTGTATAATTGGGTAAAGAGTGGGGGGGATATTCTGGAGATCAGAATTGGACCTACAAGGTCCAAGTGTCACCTACAAGGAGCATCCTGGGAGAAACTGTGCTGCTTCAGGAGCAGATTATTCAGTTTTTGGCAGTTTCTCGACAAAAGTTTGCCACACAGATAATATAGAAGGGGTTTATGTGCAGGCTGCAGTTGTTTCTGAGCATATCCTGTTGGGATTATTTTAGGATGAATTCATTAGGCCACTGATACCACTTTGATCCCAGTTGTCCCTGTACAAATCTGGGAATAGGCTGTGCAGGCATTCTGTGCAGTCTCTTGTTTATATTAATGTATATAAAGCAGGGAGCAGGCAGCAAAAATGATCTCTTGTATTTCTGAAACTGAAGCTTGTGTTGTTCCCAGAAATGAATTGGATTTTGAAACTATTTCAGACAACTACAAAAAAGCAAACAAAGCCCAAATGGAGTGCAGGCAGATCATTTCTAGCAAGCTCATAGGTGCTGGTGAACGAGGAGGTGGATGGATTTCTCATTAGCCAGACATTTAATTCCCAATGTGTTTATGGCACTCTGAGCAGTCTGTGGCTCTGCAGAAGGTACATGGTGGCAATTCAGTCAGCAGATGACAGACACAGATAACTGTGCTGAAGCCTTTGAGAAAACTGCTTAGGATTTTATAGCCTGTGGCATTTGAGGGAGAAAACTGATAGCTGCTGTGTGACTCAATAGAATGCTCAACAATTGGTGGCAGATTTTAGCTTTCTGCTTGGGCTGTTGATAATTGCTACCTTAATTTGATCTAGGTGACCTGGGGAGATCATAATTTCCAAAACAGGCTTTGATTTCATTGATGAAAAATGTGACCTTGGACTGCAGCTTTCAGAGTGCAAGACAGTTTCAGATGAGATAGGGATAATGGGGGAAATCTGTGCTCTTCTGCAAGGAAAGGAAAAAGAAAACAACAACAAAAAGCAACAATCAGACACAGAAATCTACCCTGAACCAAAACTAGCAGCTGTTTCTTAATGATGTGTGGGTTTCTGACAGACAAGTAAACCTTAATGGATCTCCACCAATAGCCTTAGAAACCAGCACATCAATTTAGCAAAACATAAACATTCCCACTCCAGTGCATTTATTTATTTTTCCACGAGAAATGGATGCCTCAGATAAGCTTCTGAATAAAGCTTTTATCAGATATGTAGTAGTTGGTGCTGACACTTCAAAATGGGGTCACTTCCCCATGTCTTTTCTGTCCTGAGAAGTAAAAACCCACAATTTCCCATTTGGTGTTTTTAGCAGAGTAACAGCTACCAAACTGTGGAGTGTTTGGGGTGTCTGGGTGAGCAGGTGACTCCTGAAGGGGAGATGAACAAGGAGCAGGCAATGCCCCAGGAATCCCTGTCACTGTTTCATTAGGAACTTTGCAGAATTGTGCTAATAACTTTGTGTTATTAGCACACAGAGAGGGAAGGAAATAATGAATTGTCCCTTTTGTCATGTGTCCCTTTTGTCATGGTGGGTGGTGCACAGGTGCCCTGGGGCTCTGCAGGATGATGAGATTGGGGTTGGTACCCATGGAAGGATCAGGGTGCTCAGCTCCTGAGTGAGAGCCCTGGCAGCTCTGCTCAGTGGGAGAGATGGCTGTAAAGGAACTTCTTAAATTTTATAAAATGCACATGCAAGGAAACCTGATGGTTGGATTTCACAGATGGTGTTAAGGACATCAGCTTTGGAGTTGCTCTTAAAAATAAAATATCATCATGTCTTTCAGTGGAAACCTGAAAAAAGTTTCTCTTTCTTTACTAGAAATTCACTACCTGAGTGTGGCAGTTGCAGCATTTGTGAGCATGACCCAGTCAGGATCTCCTGGGAGCTCTGATTACAAAAATGCTGTTTTGTTCAAAAAGATACAGAAATGAGTGTTTTTAGGAAATAATTTGCGTGGTTTTCTCTATCTGCTTCTCTAAGGAGATGAAATGAGGCATTCCTTTGATAAGGTGTAACTTGATCTGCTTTTCTTGTCCCTTCCTGGTCCCAGAAGAATTCTGAGGCTGCCATGTCTAACACCGAGCTTCAGGGCAGGGAAGTGTCCCCAGGCCTCAGGGCTGGCTGTGTGTCACGGTGACCCTGCAGGGCTGGCTGTGTGTCACAGTGACCCAGCTGTGTCCCAAAGCCTCAGGGCTGGCTGTGTGTCACAGTGACCCAGCTGTGTCCCCAGGCCTCAGGGCTGGCTGTGTGTCACAGTGACCCTGCAGGGCTGGCTGTGTGTCACAGTGACCCAGCCGTGTCCCAAGGCCTCAGGGCTGGCTGTGTGTCACGGTGACCCTGCAGGGCTGGCTGTGTGTCACAGTGACCCAGCTGCGTCCCAAGGCCCCAGGGCTGGCTGTGTGTCACAGTGACCCTGCAGGGCTGGCTGTGTGTCACAGTGACCCAGCTGTGTCCCAAGGCTGGCTGTGTGTCACAGTGACCCTGCAGGGCTGGCTGTGTGTCACGGTGACCCAGCCGTGTCCCCAGGCCTCAGGGCTGGCTGTGTGTCACAGTGACCCTGCAGGGCTGGCTGTGTGTCACAGTGACCCAGCTGTGTCCCAAGGCCCCAGGGCTGGCTGTGTGTCACAGTGACCCTGCAGGGCTGGCTGTGTGTCACAGTGACCCAGCTGTGTCCCAAGGCCCCAGGGCTGGCTGTGTGTCACAGTGACCCTGCAGGGCTGGCTGTGTGTCACAGTGACCCAGCCGTGTCCCCAGGCCTCAGGGCTGGCTGTGTGTCACAGTGACCCAGCTGTGTCCCAAGGCTGGCTGTGTGTCACAGTGACCCTGCAGGGCTGGCTGTGTGTCACAGTGACCCAGCCGTGTCCCCAAGCCTCAGGGCTGGCTGTGTGTCACAGTGACCCTGCAGGGCTGGCTGTGTGTCACTGACCCAGCCGTGTCCCCAAGCCTCAGGGCTGGCTGTGTGTCACAGCACTGAAGGCACAGGACAGCAGGGCCAGGTTCGGGACGCTGCTGTGGCAAGGGAGGAGGTTTTGGGGACCCAGAGCTGGATCCCGGACGCTGCAGCCTCCCGGGCAGGCTGCAGGTGGCAGCTGTGCAGCTCTCACAGCCTGGCAGCACCAGCTGAGCCCTGATGGCTTTTTAATGGGCACCTCGGTAATCCTCGAGGTAGAAAAGCGCCATTTGTAGTCATTTAAAGACCATTTTCTGCCGACGTTAAGATGCTTCTGTAATGTTGATGAATGCCTTGGTTCTTACCTTTTCTTCTGTTGGAACAGTAATTAAAGCAACACTGGGGTGGTTTCAGCTCACCTCTGTCTTCCCTCTGTTCCTTGGCTTCCCATTCCTCCAGCGAGTTGTCTGATCCATTCTGGGTTCATTCCAAGTGACAGTGACTTTATTCTTCTCACTGGTGAGCCCCAAAGCTAACACAGGTTTCCTTATGTATGTTTTGATTTACATGATTTCATAGTTAGCAAGGTTTAATCCGAAATTAGCAGGAGTAGAGAAGAAATTTTATATGGTTAAAACAAGTGTTATATTTGCAGTAAAAAAAATATTCACACGCTTTGTATTTCTTGCTGGTTTAGGGAATATCATTAAAGGTAGCTAGCCTTTATAAAGAACATATTTCAAAACTTCAGAAAATACTTCTTTCCATAAAAATCTAAATATAATACCTCTTAATTTTATAATAGATTAAAATAATAAACTGCCCTTGATATTAAAAAATAAGTTATTTATGAAAATTAAATAGTATTTAAATGGTTTTCCAAAATTGCATGTCTATTAAAAAAATACTCTCTTCAGAATCACTTCTTTATGGCCTGTGATTTTATGTTTATTTCTGCCTGTGAAAGGATAACAGCAGAACCCAGTGGTGTTAAGTACTGCAAAAGTGCTTTTATGAGATGGTGTGTGAGGAATGGATTCAGGCAGAGTTAAAATTTTCTGTGTGCTCCCAGTGCCTTCTCATCACTCACCTGTTACTGCCAGGGGGAATTTTTCCCATTTTTTTGTGTCCATGTGTAGCAGTCCCTGGTTTTCACTTGCCAAAAGGCCAAGGCCATCAGCTGCCCTTTGACTCGAACTTCTCTGTGTCAATCACGACCAAACTCACGATTTGTTCTCTTTTTTCCTCCAGAAAGAACTTCCTCAGATAGAAGCTTTTTCCACGCTTTCCCCTATCCCAGGATTCACAAAATGGCTCGTTGGTCTCCTCTCCTCCCAGACAAAAGAGCAGGGAAGGAATGAACTTTTTACAGAATCTGAGTGGCAGGAAATCTCCGAGCTCACAGGAGACCCCACCAGTAACACACTGAAGAAACTGCTGAACACCAACGAGTGGGTGAGGTCAGAGAAGCTGACCCAGGTGCTGCACTCCCCCCTGATGAGGCTCTGTGCCTGGTACCTGTATGGGGAGAAGCACAGGGGCTATGCCCTCAACCCCGTGGCCAATTTCCACCTGCAGAACGGCTCGGTGCTCTGGAGGATCAACTGGATGGGGGACAGCAGCCCCAGGGGCATCGGCGCCTCCTGTGGCATGATGGTCAACTACAGGTATTTCCTGGAGGAGACAGCCGCCAACAGCGCCCTCTACCTGGCCTCCAAGCAGGTCAGGGCCTCCGAGCAGGTGCTGGCTTTGGTGGCCCAGTTCCAGCAGAACAGCAAGCTCTAGGGGCACATCATCATCATCATCATCATCATCATCATCATCATCATCATCACAGTGCGTGGTGCTGACCGCAAAGAGCTGTGCTCACCTGCACTGTCTTATTTCAATCAGGGTTGCCTGGGTTAGCAGGTCTTGCTCGCAAGGTGTGCTCCACCTGCTTGAATCACCTGTGGTGTGTATTAATGGAGAGTAAAATCTTCTTCATCAGGTACAGCCCAGGGGTGACTAAAAAAATACCTGAGCCAACATTATTCTGTTGGTAGTTTATTATATCAGCTGTGTTTGAAAGGAGCTGCACTTCTCTGTCAAAATGCTGCTGGAGATTGTTCACAACCAAAGTACCCGGAATAAAGGTAAATTTGGGGTAAAATATATGTAAAATATATTATCAAAACTGCAATTTACAGTTTATTTCTACAATATCTATGTCTTTTGAACCCTCAGAAAAATCTCCTGTAAAACGTCCTGGTATTTCCTGTTTAAAGCTAAAACTCACAGAATCTTTGCTTTGCTGGAGGGTGGAAGAGCCTTGCAGTAATGTTGAAAAATCAGGGTCTCAGTACAGCAGGTATGTTATGTTAGATTTGCATGTTTGGCTGCTAAAATGTAATGAGCAATAAGGAGGTGTTCAGAGAGGAGAGAACAAGGCAGACTGTTACTTGGGAATCAAGTGAGGAGTCTCTAAATATGTATTTATATGTTGGCTCTGGTAATGTTTTAAGTTGATAAAGAGCTTTTTTAATTACGAGGTAGGTGTGATTTATAAACCAATAAAACAAACTTTCTCAATAAATCATGGTTCGTGGTTCCCTCCTTCACTTAGTGACCCTCCTTGACAGCAGTGTCCCCACACAGTGAACACTCAGGACATTCCTGTTTTTAATAGTGAGCAGGCCTTGGCTCCATTCTCTCTCTCCATTCCTGATCTTTCTCAACTGCCTTAGAATTCAGGTTTCAAGGTGAAATTTAGCTGCCTGTATATCACATACAAGCCATTCTTGGCTGGCAGGAATAGAGCAAGAGAACCCTCTCCTTGTTAAACTCTTCAGGTTTGAGGGAACCAGGTCACACTTCAAGTGCAAGAGTTGTGAAAATGCAATGGGTTTGAAAGATGGTTTTATTTTGAAGCAGGAGGAGCTATGAGGGCAATTAAATCTGCATCCTCCTGGCCATAGTTCAAAAAGAGCTAATGCTTCTGCTGTATTGCAGATGGAAATACAACATAATCCCATATTCTTAACAGCTGGACTGGAAGGATAATGAGTTTTTTCCACTTGGAGCCTCAGACAATTGTATGAGAATTGGTTCAGTGACATGAAATGATAGCAGCATATGAGGGAGGAAAAGCAAAGCTGCTAATGCCTCACAAACACTGCAGTGATTTCCCAGACCTGCCTGCCTACATCTCACACAGCTCAGGGAAGAGAGGGCTCCTCTCTGGTTTTGTCCTACCAACCTCCTAATCAGGATGGATGCTGGCATTTGGGCATGGCAAACACATTCCCACCTGCACCCGTGGGTGCAGCGTCACCCTCGAGCTAAGAATGACACAGGAACAGATGAGAGGAGAAAAAGAGCTTTTATTACAAAGGATTCTTTGTTTCATATAGACTGATATGACATATTCTACTTGATTGGCTAGTTAATAAAAAACATTTCCACAAACTGTCCTTGAGAAGAACAGGAAAACAAAATGGAAAAATGCTACCTGTAGATTGTTTATATTAACAAGTTATCACATTCCTACAACTCCTAAAATTCTCACAAGCTGCTGTGAGGAACAACTGTCATTTCTTTCTCCCTGACCAGGCTGGCATCACATTGCAGGACTGGTTCCTCAGCTGCTGACCCATGTGTCACAACCAGAGCATGTCCCAACCAGCTCTGTCCCTGTCCCCTTGTGCAGCTGCCACCTTTCTCTGGGTGTTGAATGAACTCACCCCTGCATCAGCAGCCAGCTCAACCTGCTGGTTTTGATGGGGCTGAGGAGATTGCAAAGCTGCAGCAGCTTCCTCTAGTTAATAAAAATTTTTTTCACATCCTGTCCTTGAGGAAAACAAAGTGGAAAAATGCTACCTGTAGATTGTTTCTACTAACAAGTTACCACATTCCTACAACTCCTAAAATTCTCACAAGCTGCTGTGAGAAACAATTGTCATTTCTCCGTCTCTGATCCACATTGCAGGACTGGTTCCTCAGCTGCTGACCCATGTGCTCACAGTCACCTCTGTCCCTGTCCCCTTGTGCAGCTGCCACCTTTCTCTGGGTGTTGAATGAACTCACCCCTGCATCAGTCAGTTCAGTCTGCTGGTTTTGATGGGGCTGAGGACATTGCAAAGCTGCAGCAGCTTCCTCCTGGAGCTCCTGTGGATGGGTACATTTGTTAGGTGACATCTGGTGTCCATCAGAAGCTCAGCACCTGCAGAGTTGTTTCCTTTGCAGCAGTTGTGCTGGTTGGTTGTTCTGTGCTTTCTGAGGTCACATCATCTGTTCCATTGATGGGGCAGCAATGTGAGGCCAGGGCTCCTGCAGGGAGCTCTGTGTCACAGCACAGCACCCACAGCACAGCAGAGGGATCTTTGGAGATGGAGGTGGGACAGGCTGCCCATAAAAGCCATCAGCTGTTAAGTGCTATTCGTTTTCTTTCACTGGCCATTGATTTTTGTCTTTCTGTTGCATTTTCCAGCTTGCTACTGAAGAGAAATTTTAGCATTAAAGATGCTGAGGAGGAAAAAATTAAATATTCACCATCTGTGCTGCTTACCAGGACAATGTCCCTGGAGAGGAGTGTGCTCTGTCCCAGGGAGTCTTCACAACACTGAAAGAACAGAGACACCCAGTTCCTTTGTGTCCCTGTCACTGAGTGCCACTGCAGTGCCATTTCTGCACCCAGTTCCTTTGTGTCCCTGTCACTGAGTGCCACTGCAGTGCCATTTCTGCACCCAGTTCCTTTGTGTCCCTGTCACTGAGTGCCACTGCAGTGCCATTTCTGCACCCAGTTCCTTTGTGTCCCTGTCACTGAGTGCCACTGCAGTGCCATTTCTGCACCCAGTTCCTTTGTGTCCCTGTCACTGAGTGCCACTGCAGTGCCATTTCTGCACCCAGTTCCTTTGTGTCCTTGTCACTGAGTGCCACTGCAGTGCCATTTCTGCACCCAGTTCCTTTGTGTCCCTGTCACTGAGTGCCACTGCAGTGCCATTTCTGAGGAGCACAGAAGGCTGTGGAGAGGAAAAAGGGGAGGCTGCTTTTGGTGCCTCTCTCCTCAGTGAGCAGTGGGAGCTGCTGTGCTGGATGGGGCTGCATAGAAAACCATCTCAGTTTCACAGCTGCATCCTGCCTTTGAGAGAAATCAATAGAAATTGTGTTGCTCTGTCACTTGGGCTTGTTTGTGATCAACTCAGGCTGGATTTTGTGTCCCAGGACTGGTTTTTGTGTCCCAGGAATGTGTTTTTTGTGTCTCAGGACCAGTTTTTGTGTCCCAGAGCTGGTTTTTGTGTCCCGGGGCTGTGTTTTTTGTGTCCTAGAGCTGGTTTTTGTGTCCCAGGACTGGTTTTTGTGTCCCGGGTTGTGCTTTTTGTGTCCCAGGGCTGTTTTGGGGATCCCAGAGCTGTTTTTCATGTCCCAGGACTGTTTTTCATGTTCCAGGACTGGTTTTTGTGTCCCAGAGCTGGTTTTTGTGTCCCAGGGCTGTGTTTTTTGTGTCCCAGAGCTGGTTTTTGTGTCTCAGGGCTGTGTTTTTTGTGTCCCAGAGCTGGTTTTTGTGTCTCAGGGCTGTGTTTTTTGTGTCCCTTAGCGCCAGCAGTGTGTGGCTGAGTGGGAGCTGTGCTCTGAGCTGTGCCCTGTGTGAGCACTGAGAGCCCAGACACTGCTTGGCTGGGGGATTTTGCAGTTTTCAGTTCATTTACAGGTGCTGGGCCATCACAGAACTGCTAAAAGAAGGAAATGCTTGAACAGACAAACTCTCCATGTGTATCTCTGCAGTTTATTTTAGTTATTGACTGTCACAAGCTCCCAAATGTGCCCCCTGTAGTAATTCCTCCTTGGGGAAAGGGTTACAAAGGTGGTGTAAAGATAGAGTAAGGCAAGGGCAGTGTGATTCTTCAGCCTCTTGTGAGGGAACTCCTCCAGGAAGGAGGGATCAGGGTGATGCCCAGCATGCCAGGAGCAGTTAAAACACTTTTAGCATTGTTTTCTTCAGGAAATAAGGAATCACTTATTGCCATCACTTTTATTGTCTGGTATTTTTAGTGCTTCCAAAAGCATTCGAATTTTTCAAGAAATTTGAACCCAAATCTTTCTCAAGCAAGGGTAAGAACCACTAGGGTGTTGTATAAATGCTCACTGTGGAGTACAGTGAGCTGAAAAAAGGATAAATGGACCTAAAGGGATGCCATGAGCCTGTCCAGGTGTGTTCCTTCTCTTACCCAATTTTTTGGCAGATGATCAGCACTTTTCCACATTTTTTCCACATAAATCTTCCATCAAGGCATCAACCACAGGTTATGAGGAAAGCTGGATTGCCTTGGTGTGTCCCTCCCAAGCTAAATGCTTATAGCCAGGGAATTAACACAGCATAACTGGGTTATATTCAAAGTCTTTTGTAGTCAATTTTAAGTTTTGTGTTTTATTGGGTACCCAAAACTATTCAGAAAAAAAACCCCCAAAAAACAAAATCACTTTTTGCCACTTATATCTAATAAATGAATGTATATTCATAAATCTGTAGCAGGGCTGGGGAACAGCAAGATGTAACCTGACATTTTGGCTTTAAACAAAAAATACCCCAATCAAACAAACAAATAAAATCTGCTGCTAAGGCTGTAATGATTATGTGCAAATGCAGATTTCTGTGGTTTTTTTTTTTCCTGGAGATGCCATAATTGCCTGCAGGATGCATTAGCTCCCTGCAACAGCTCAGTATTGAAAACCAGAAGGTTGTATGACATTTTTATATTATGTATAATGCTAATCAATATCCATCTCTTCCTCTTTATCATCTCTTAATTGTGGGCAGAATTAACAAAGATAATCTCTGGAAGGGAGCAGCTGTGGCTGAAAGAGATCAATTAAACAGTACCTGGTCAGATGGTGAGGAAATAAAAGAT